TGAGGAAGTACCTTGGTTTTGTTTGTGTTTACTGACTCTGGTATCTTAGCAATCAAATTCAAACACTAATATGGTTCTGTGATGGACACAGAAAAATCTAAACCAGATATTTTATTGCCTACAGTTCAGTGAAAGGAAATTCAGTATCTGTTTATAGGCATATTACCTGCATTTCCAGTGAATCCTTTTTATAGGGACAAATTTGAATTAAATAAACCAGTGGAGAATATAATTTATAGTATGGGAAGCCACTTCCCTTTGTGGCTAGTACTTTAAATGAAGACTATATTAGAAATAATATGTAGTGTCACAGTGTCATCAGACTGAAGGAACACCAGAGCAAAGTGCCTTTATTGTAGGACAGTTTGTTGGCCAAAATCAATTATAATGACTGTATTGATTTTAGCTAACTGCCTATGAAATTTCAAAAGATTACATCTTTAATTGATATTGAATTGCATTGATTTGATTGATTTCCATGTCTGGTTTAAGTAAGTACTTATGGAGTGCTCAGATCTCTAGTGGTGTTCAGAGCTGGTAGTGGGAGGGGAGAGCAGAAGAGATTGTATAATATTGCCAGGCAGGATTGAACTCAGGAAGGGGGGATGGTATGGACAGGGGAGGGAAGGTGTTGTCTCTATTGTGTGCATGCTCAGGGTGGGAGAGAGATAGATGCCATGAGAAAACAGGAATGTGGCTGTTGCTTGGAGGCAGGTCTGAGTTGCAGAGGAACTCTTGTAGTGGTGTGGGGCCCTCTGGATAGGGATTGCTGCCTCTCTAAGGAGTGGCAGTGTGGCTCCATCCAATTTGACCCATCCACTCCTTAGGATAATCTCTGGTTTTACTTTTAGATGCATGACAACCAAGTATGGGGTTTTGGAGGGGAGTTTATTTAGTGTAGTCTCAGGCATTTGCACAGTGAGTATGGAGCAGCATTTCACTGCCCTGTCTCATATTCCTCCTCCCATCTTCATGGATATGAGAACTTCCATGTGCCAGTGTCACTTCCAGTTGTAGGAGTGATTTCGAGGTCTGTAATTCTGATTCTTGCCCTACAGAACGATTTGCCCTCCCAGAATGGCCTGACTCGTTAGTGCCACCTGTGGGTCTGCCCTTACCTCGCTGTGCTGTACTCACCTTGTTTTTGGGGATGGCGTGGTTGTGGTTGGCGCTTCAGTACTGCCGTGCTGTGCAAATGAATCCTAACCCTTTTCCCAAGGAGGGTTTGAATCCTTTCTACACTGATTTCTGTTTAGAACTTAGGTGTATGACTAAATCAATAGTCAGCTAATGATAATGTGAAGAGTGAAACAAACCTGTGTGGTGTTATTGAAAACACATTACTGGATCAGAACTCCAGAGCATGTAAAGTATTTGCTGAGTTGTGAATCTGATTTATTGATTTGTTTTCTTCCTGTTCTGCTGATTCCATAATTCTGTTAAATAGATAAGCACAAATAATATATTTCTACCATTAAGAATCAAGGGCTTGGTGTACTGCATTAGATTATCAAAGCAGATATTTTGATCCCAGTAACCTGAGATAGCTGCTGCTTAAAAGGCAAGCCGTGCTCATTCTGACCTCTATGCAATTATTGTATTCTGTGAAGCATGCAATATAAGCATCAATGCTGTTAATAGCCATAAATAATTCCTCTTTCTAAAAATTTCTATCTGATCCATGTTGTTGACTTGCAGATGAAGTTGCTAAGTATGTCCCTAATGAAATTAACTATTACAGTCTTTACCAGAAACGAAGGAAATGGAAAGCAAAGACAGCATGAAGAATTAACAATCATAGCAATTGATTGGGACATGGTGCTGCATAAAATAAAATAAGAAAAAGTTCTGCATTCTCCTGAGACTGACCATAAAAGCTCTAATTCTTGACTAAAATAAATAATTACTATGTGAGCTATACAAATAGTATCAAAGGGGGACTGAGTGAACATACAAGGTAACATATTTGGTAGTATTTCAAAGCAAGGTGCTTGATGTCTTTTGTGAGGTCTGTGTCAATACAGATGGTAGGTTTCCAGTTAAATTAAACTAATTTCTGTTTAGAGTGAGAGATAAAGTAGCAGAAGGTGTATATAACCACATGCAAGTCAGGAAAACTGGAGGCTGATGGGATTTTCATGCTGAAGTCAGAGAGTGCTAAGGTACTTCAATGTGGAGATGACTTAGATGCTTGCTGAAAGATGGATTTTGGTATCACTAGACTAATTGGTTACCTTAATAGCCAAGATGTCCCCTAAGAACCATTATAGTGCCTTTGATAAAAGCAAATTTTTGGGGTATTTATTTTTGTAATGACATAATTTGTAACATGAGTGTGGATTGGAAATCGGACAGTCTAAACCAGATTGCAGTTTGGTCATAGTTGTAAAATGGGGTTTGGGATGAGACAGAGAGGTTTTATCCAACTCAATTCCTCTGGGCCTCTGCAATAGAGATTTAAACATGAGCAATGAGTTTTCTTACTGAGAAATAGGGTCCTGTGTGCCTGGTGGGGAGGGGGCTGGAGGTGCTGGTACCTCTGTCACCATCTGCCAGAGGATGCTGTGCTGAAGAAGGGTGGATGTTAAAACCTGAGGATGCTGGCTGTGTGGGGGAAATTGGTTCTTGATATTTACAGGAATGAAAACACCTGTCTGAGAGAGCTCAGACTACAGCGAGTGAGCTTAGATAATATGCCTGGATACACTAAAGCCTGATTTTAAGTGAACTCTGTATTATTTTTTTTCTGTTGTTTTGGCACATAAATGTAATCAGAATGAAGGAGTACTGGGTTGGAAGAGTCCAAAAGTTGCTGGTAAATTTTACTAATCTAAGACTAATGCTGTATATTAGCTCACATTAAATCCAGCAATGTATTTTGGGCATAAACTAAAGGAAGACTAATTCTTAAAAAGCTATGATGCTGCAGCAGCTCTTCTAACAAAATTTCAACTTTTAAATTAATTTTGAAGTGAAACTAAAAACAAACAAAAAAATTCTTACAGCACTAAATAGTTATAATTTGAAAACTAATTTCTCTTGATTGAGCCACAAGGCAAAGCCTGTTGTTTACAGTTTTGTGGAGAGCAGCAGGATTTACCTTAGTAGTTTAGAGAAACGGGAAAAAAATCCATACTGCCTGTCAGTCAGGGCTTTCATCAAGTCTGAAATTTAACAAAGTGATGCATCTTGTGTCTATAAATCTGGAAGGGTTATGGGGTCAGTATAAGTGCCTGCTGGATGGCTACAGGAGAGGTGAGTGGATCCTTAAGACAGAGAGGAAGGAGAAAATGAGGATTGTATCACAGAGACTTTTTGACAATGGGAGGGTGTGATACCATTCAGGTCTGCCCTCTGCTGATGGAAGTGTTTAGTGTGTAGATGTGCTGGTTTAGAGCTCTTTATAAAGCACAACATGATGACCTGACAGCCAGGTCATGAGGAAGGTCAAAGCAGATTTTATCACAGACACCAACGTGATTTTCCTCTCTGGATTACACTGAGGAGGCTTTTTAAAGATTTGACCTAAGTTCCTTATCTGCCTCTCCTTATTTTGCAATTTGCTTCATGGAAGTGAAGAAATAGGATCAATTTTAATGTTGCAAATGTGATTTAAAAAAAAAAAATATTCCCCAAACCCCGCAAATCCTCGTTATTTTTCTTTGTTTGGTGAATACTGACAATTTCATCACTGTGTGGTGAGGCACCAGGAGCAGAAGCCAATCACGTGGTAACATCAAGGCCATGGTTAGTTCTCTGAACACAAAAGAGGCAAAATTAGACAGTACTCTGAGAGGCAGAGGCTTGCTGTGCCCTTTCTTGTGGTGGTTTGAATTAGCTGTAGTGTATCAGGGGTACCTGGATAAGAAGCTTGCCTGGTTTTAGCTGCAGCAGTTCACAGTGTTAATGTGAGATATCAGTGATGCAGATTTACTGGTACTGGCCTGTAAACTCATGCCTTGTTCCAAGTGGGCAGTTATAAATTGTGCTTTAAGTTAGCTGAATGCAGAAAATGGGAAGGGGCTGGATCATATTAGCCCCAATGAAGGAAAAATGGCATGAAATATTAAATAACTATTATTATAAGATACTTCATAAATCCAAAGGAGGTGGAGGGGGAAAAGACCTATGAGGACACCTAACCTATCTATTCTGGAGGACTGGCTTGCTGCCTGCAATATGGAATCATGGTCTGCTACTCCAGACTAGTTCTGACTGCCCCAAGCTTTAGTATTCTTAATGCAAGAGAGGAGGAAAGAAAGGGTCATAGACTTTTTTTCTATTTCCTAAACTTTTCCTCACTTGTTTTCTGTTTCTGAAACCCTTCCTCAGATTTACATGTTGGTTTTTTCCTCTATTTTGTCTTTTTATTTTTTAATTTTGTTTTTCTGCTTCAGTGTCAGAATGCCCTGAAGAGAGAGATGATTTCAATAATTCTGGATAGCTGTGTTCTCTCTATGTCTTTTGTATGGATCACAGTCACTACTTTGATTGACAATTCTCTTTTTAAATTTTCCTCAGTTTTTAATTTTTTTCTCTCCTATGGCAGCTGGGTTCCCTGGCTAATCCCCCCCAGACTGGTAGTGTCTGGAGTGAGAATATGTTTTTATACTTGCTTCTTTTTGTGCCCCCTCACCATACATCTGCAAATCCTCATCAGGCAAGTATCCTGTTAGGAGAGAGCAATATCATTATTCCCAAGTAGAGCTGGGAGGCAGTGATGATTTTTGCCACAAAGAATGGTTGTATGAGCAGTGGAACCTCAGTGGAGGTGTTATGTCTCCTTAGACACTCTGGAGTGAGAAGTGCCAAAAAAGGTGATGTTTGTCCTGTGTTTAACTGTCATGAATTTGAATGCACACCCTGACAAACAAGTACTTGTTCAAGAAGGAAACATGTCTGTCCATATATGAGGAGGAAGTGTGGAACAGTTATTTAGCCTCTCTGAGTGTTCTTGCTATTGTTTCTTTATTTCACTTGCTCTGTAATTGCCTTTTCAGCCCGGTCAAGGAGTCTGGTGATGGGTGAACAGATTGGGCCTCCCTCCAGACCATCTTCCCCAAACCCTCAGGAACGTGTGCTGAAGTGTGGCTGGCTAAAGAAGCAGAGGAGCATCATGAAGAACTGGCAGCAGCGCTGGTTTGTGCTGCGTGGGGATCAGCTCTTCTACTACAAGGATGAAGAGGAAACGAAACCTCAGGTATGACTAGAGAGCTGCAGGAGCTATGGTTGTGACTCCTGTGTGATCGCAGCTGTGCTTGGATTGACAGCTCATTTCAGATGTTTTCTGTCCTCGCCAAAGCCATTCACACTTAAGGAGGCTCAAAGGCATGAGATGTTGCAGGGAGGTTTTTCTACTACCAGACAAGTGGTGGAGCTTGGGAAAAGGTTAGAAGGTGCTTACTTACCCACTAGGGCATGCTGACCTCCAGATCTTAGTACAGTCAGCTGTGAGACTGGAGTTTGACAAGAAGAGCTATGGAGTTGAATATTACTGAGGCAGGAGTGATTAACCTTCTTGCTCAGCTGGGACTTGTTATCTCCCAGCTAATCCTTGTTAGCCATGAGGTGAAACAGCTGCTTAGAGCTGGCTTGTGTGTGTGGAGTGTGTAGGTTTGGCTACATGCTGAGAATGGGCTGTAATATGTGTTTTAGTGGGGAGGAGGGAGTGGGTGCTGTGCTATGGGCTAAAGTTTGCAGAGGAGACAAAGAATTTCTTATTCATGTTTTTCTAAGGCCTGAAAAATTCTCTCAGAGCATTTGAGCTAAGGTCTTTCCTGTTGCTGTAGTAGATTATGCATCATAATTCACGAAGTCATTGTTTTGACTGTCAGGCCTTTAACCAGAGTCATTGAACAGAGGGAACATAATTGAATGAGCCAGACAGTGTCCCTGTGCTGCTGGCTCCTGATGAGTCAGTACAGGCATTACAGAGTGACAGTCAGCCTGTGTAATATCATCACCATCCACACACTCATTAAAGACAATTATTAAACTGCTTGATGCAGCTGCCTGCTTGACTGTCACACATAAATTTCATTGTAGAGTGAGAATGGAAATTAATATTCCCCTGTGGGTCTGACATAAATACGGTAGATGAATGAGGATGTTGACTGCATCTTATATCTTGCACTCTCCTGATCAGGGATTTGGTCCATAATTATGGAAAGTCTGCTGTGTAAGGGCTAGAGAGATTTGAACTTGATGATGTAAGTTGATTACTCAGGATGCTTCCAGCAACAGATGGATTTTGCACTTTCAAACCAGGCACCTTATCTTCCATATGCAATGCATGTGGGAGAGCTGGGCACTTCTGAACCGTGTCAGTGAACATGATGAGGAAGAAATGGCCTCAGGCAGTCAGGCTGTAAAGGGTCTCTTTAACCCTGGCTCTTTTTGGGCACAGGGTTACATTTATCACTGTGGGAAGATATTTTGTACAGGGTGATACAGGACTATGTTCTGACTATTCTTGTAATAGTTGCAAATTAGGATTTGCATCTGACTCTAGCCAGGACTGTATACATCCCATAGGTGAGATGTACTTGTGGGACTCAGAGACAGCTGTGGCTTGGGATTCTCTGGAATGAAGGGGCAATGGCACAGGTGTGCCCATGCACCTTAGGAAGACAGCTGAGACCCTTTGTTGTAGGGAGATTTTTTTATAGGCTTTGAAGATATTTTCTCCAGTTGTTATTGATATTAATCCCTAATTTTCTTCAGCCCTAAAGGTACTCATGCCTAATTTAAGTATTTTTGGTTTATTTATTAAGTATGGCCTTTAAGCTTGTATGTAAGAACTAAATCAATAGTTTCACTGAAATTCCCATTGATCTTCCACCTACTTGATTATTTCTACATAGTCTTTAAGAAAGTTGTATTCTTGTTGTTTACCTGATAAAGTCAAATGAGATTTATGGCATAATGTTTCAAAAGAGAAACATTAAACAACTTCTTTTTCTTCATGGATGTTGCCTTGCCTATTTTTATGAAAACCTGTTGTTTCAGATTCTTAGAGGAAACTGCAGATACTCTTCCTTTAATAATATTGCTGAAAAGGTGGAATTGTAATCTAATGGCAGGAGAATCACACAGGCTTTCTGGAGTGAAGACGAATTTTTCTGTTGTCTTAATGGTTTGAGGACTGTTGAAGGTACTCGGTTTTTATTTGTGTGCCACATGACAGTTGCAGTTGCACAGCCCACTCCATCAGAGACCAAAGGTTAGAGGGTGGATCTGCAGCCATTGTTTTTCTGCAGAGTTTTCTTTTTTTTGCCCCGTGAGGACAGGGGGAAGGGAGGACTGACCTGCAAAGAGTTTTTGATGCTCCTACTGACTCTGTCAATATGTTTGTGTTTTTAAAGGAGCTTTGGGCTTGTTTCTATTCCCAGGAAAGGAGAGAGCATACATCCCTCCCCAGTTTCCAGGGGAAAAGAAGCCACTGTGCAGCTGATTCATTAACCCTTCCTTCAGTATTGACTTGACATGATGAAAGGCTTTAATGCATCTGCAGTGGGCTTGAATTTTGCCCTTTAGAAAACTGCAGAATTTTCTAGAATGTGTTCTGGACTCTAAAGATGATGTTCTATGCAATACTTTTTGATGCCATTTGGAATTCAGATGCAACTGCATTTTTGTCAAGTTGCCTTTCCTATGTTTTCCTGTTATCGATGGAATGTCTTCAATTTATCTTCTAATTTCAGTGAACCCCAGAGCCAAATTGCATGGCAACAGGATTGGGAGGTAAGGGTGGTGAAGGCTTATCCTGTTGTGTTAACTTATTTTACCTCAATTTTAAATCTTACAACCATTCTTGAGAAAGCACTCAGCATGGACTTTGCTAAGTGCCCTCCTCCAGGGTGTCCTTCCACAACTTACACTGGGTAGGGGACAGGAGCTGAGCCTTGACTCTGTTGAGCAAAGCATTTGTAGGAGGATGCATTCCTGAGGAGCAAATCTATGGAAGCTATACTGAATAGTGACAATGCAAAGTAACACATCTGGCTTCACTGTTTATAGAGAAGATTGCAAAGCTCTTATGATGAGTTGTCTTCTGTAAGTTGAAATTCTGGATTGTCTGTCTCATGAGACACTAATTGTATTACTCCATTGGATGTGGATCTGGAAGCTGACAAATAGCATAACTGGAATTTGTTTTGATTACTAATGTTATGATGGTCCAGTGTGTCTTGGATTTGGTTGTTGCCAGATCAGTAAACATACATAGCTACATTCTCATCAGCCAGAGATATGTGTGAAACACCTGACTGAAACAACTTTCTTCATTTTCTGTTCATCAAGAAAAAATGCTTTGGACCCTGTTTGCATTCCAGGGCAGTTCAGTGCAGGAGTGGGAACTGCTGATTACCTTCTTCATGGCTTAACTCTTGAGAGTCCCAGAGTCTGTCTGATTGTGCATAGGTCCTGAAGAATGTTAGCTGGAAACCCTTTAAAATACCAGAAATTAAATGCTTGTTTCACTCAGCTTATTGGAGAAGAGCTTCTTGTGATGTCTTTTTCAGTTTTTCCATAGCTAAAGAGAATTTTGTTCACTTTGAAGATACTATGTCACCAGCTATGCAGAGTTCCCAAACTGGAATACATTGTGTTAATTATGCTTGGGCTCAAAATGGAAATGAAGCTGAATACTGGCAGCATTTGAACTTGGGAAGTAAAGGGGCTCAGGTTTTTTCTAGGAAAGCTATAGTCTTTGGGATTAAAAAGCAGTCCGTTGTTTTCAAACCTGAATTATCTGCTCTCTTCAAGTATTTCCCTGGGAACTTCTGTGTACTGAGCATCTCTGGAAAATCAGCCATTTTATTCAAATGCATGCTGCAACCAGAAATTCAAGGGTGTCAGAAGAGTCGGTGTAATGTGAGATGAAACTCTTGCAAGGGATAATTAGGTATGGAAACCAAGGATAATCATTTCTGCATGCTCAGAGTAGTGTTATTCCAGAGGAAACAGCCTTAACCAGCAGTGTCCACTGTGAGAGAAAGGACAGTGAAGCAGGTGGATGACCAGCTCAAATATTTTCTTGCTCAGAACTGTGGAAAGGTCTAGGGATCAGTAGATGAGCAGGACTTGAGTTCTACTATGCATTTTATCATCTTTTCCTTACCCTTTCAGAGGCCTTTTCCTTTTCACTAATGTTTGTGTCCATTACAGGGTTTGATACTACTGCAAGGCAGTCAGGTGAACGAGCTGCCACCTAATCCTGATGAACCAGGGAAACATCTGTTTGAAATTACTCCAGGTATGCCAGCGTTTTTTTGTGCTTTCACTACAACATCACATCACTCCCATCAGTTGTCACTAATGGTAATTGAGGTGTATTGATCACTCCTGAATGTTCTGATACACTGGCAAGATTATCCAGTGAGACTGAGAAAGGGGACTTGACTACATGGTGTTCTTTGTTCTGGATATAAGTGCTGCTGTGGTGCCTCATTTTCATTTAACAGTAGTTGAGATGCATCATGATCCTTGACTTTCCTGTTTGGAGAGGCTTTTTTCTTGCAGCATTGTGTGGTCTCTCTATGGATCCATTCTTCTGGTTGTTGCAGGAGAAACAGGCACAGAACTTAAGGAAAAGTGGTATCTGGATGCAATTTCTTTCATGTATACTAATTATTTTGGGAAGTGGGTGGGAGTGCAGACAAAAAGCTTCAAAACACTTCCCTTTTGGATAAAAGGTTTAAGAAAATAAATGGCCTAGCATGGAAGTGAGGTTGAAATTTTTTCAGGTAGAAAATCTAATGATCTGTCATGGTAGTATTAATGTAAAACTTTTGCAGTCATTTTAGGTCCCATATTAATGCTTTCTGGGGACAGAGTTGGTATCTCCAAGATAGATTTAGAATTAAGTTCCATATTGCAGGAGCAATTTGATTCAGTTCTGATTGTATTTGGGAATATTTGTGTTGTATTTGTGTTCAAACCCTGCACATAGGTTGTCTGCAAAATGAAGATGTTTTCCCCAACTTATGCAGCTAAATCCCATTTGTAGTTAACTTAGTTGCTACATGGATAGTAAATATTGAAAACCACTATGAATAGCCAGTCAATACAGAATGTGATTGACGCAGACGTCACTGCAGAATGTGGCCCGAAGAGTCGCCCAATTTGTTCACAGTACATTTATTCTGTGCTGGTTTTGGCATTAATACCTTTTCTTTTTTTTCCATGTGTTCTGAAATGACCGTGTTCTGCATGGCTGCCAGCCTGCAGAACACCCACATAGTGAACAGCTCTGAAACAGATGCCAGATAGGAAGGGCAGCACAAATGATCTTGCAGGACCCAGATCTCTATTTCCCATCACTGCCCATCTTTCCCTGTGTTGGATGTATGGCCATGATCACATTTCTGCCTAATTGTGTTTCGTTTATCCCACTATAAGCTAGGACTCTACAGTTTCTATAGCAATGGTAAGATATTATTTTAAATCTGTCACAGCTAAGTTGGGGATGTTGTGAATACAGGTGCATTCAATAGCTCAAGTATAGATTAGGGTTTTACTGCGCTAGTAAGCATCAAAGCTTTAACCAACAAAATTAAGAACGGAGTGAAACATTCCTAAAGTGTACCTATAGCTGATACCAGTTTATCTGGCAAAGAGAAGAGGCTGAGATCTGAGAAATGTCCAAAGGGTTCCAAAGTCTGTGGTACCAGTTATCTCCAAAAACCTATTTTGTCATTGTTGGCTAAGGTATTCAACGTCCTTGATGTGCAACTGTTGCTGTGTTCTTGCCACCTTTCCTGTGCTGCAGGCTGTATTAAGCTTGGCTGTGAGAGCTGTTCCCTCAGAGGGCAGGGACTGGAGTAACAGCATGTCCTGTGCTGTAACAGAGCCTGTATTGATTTTCTGCTGAGTAACAAGAACTAATGATGGGCATTGTGTATTATTCATGTTTCATCAAGTTCATTTCTAAGCTGTATAGGGCAGCTGGGAGAAGGGTTAACTAGGGACATGAGAGGCTGCAGAACAGTTCTACAGTCAAACCAGGGTTAGATCTGGTCACAGGACTTCCTGAAATATATTCTCTATATTCCTTTTCGGGGAAACTGTGTAAATTTCTGGACCCTTTTGAATCCATTCATGCTTCCCTCCATCATACAAGTTCAGAGTGGAATGGTGGGGTAAGCTGTGGGTGTAAGTTGCTCTCATACTCCAGTGCACATTAGCAGGTGGTGGGGGATGTTTTTGTAAAGTTATGAGGGTAGTATGAGGTCAAGTGCAAATGTTGTACCATTTGGGGTAATCATTCCACAGCAGCTGGTATTTATGGATGAAATTATCTGTGTTGTTTGGGAGAGAAGTCCGAATCTGGGAACAAAAAACAGCATCTGCTGTTGCCAGGGGCAACAGAATAACTCAGTGCTGACCTGGGGTTACCGTGCATTTTGGAGTGGTGTAATGCAGCTTGTAAGAAACCACAGGGATTAAGCTCTGAGAAAGTCTTAGGGACTGTTGATGACTTAAGTGCTTCTGAAGTCTCACCTTTTAGGAAACAATGTTTTAATGTCTACCTAGTTTCATTCCCCAGTCTTTGCAGCACTATGAGATGCTCAAGTTCGTCACAGACAGAATTTCCTGATACAGTAATGTTTTTAGAATCAAGAAGGGGAATGGTAAAAAGGTTCAGAAGTTAGGAGGTATTCATGGTACTCATTTTGATGTCCCTTATCACTGATGATAGCTAGTTCCTGCTTCTTGCCATGGTGCTTTTTTCCAAGGTGAACAGTGACAGCTCTTAGCTGAGGGTTTCTGTCAGAATGAGAGTGCAGTTTTGTAATGAGTTTAATATTTTCATTGGAAACAGCTGCTGAATGGGTTGATCTTGTTTCTGTATATTTAATCATATCTTTCATTTCAGCTCTCATGACTGAAAAAAAGTTCTAAAACCAGTTGGACATCAGGTCAATCCAACTAAGGTGGTGAAAACCTGCAGGTTGGCTGCACCTTCAGGTTGTTTTCTGTGCTCCAGTTGAGTTAGCAACAGCCCTCTCATTGGTGAAGCAGTTCATTCCTTTTCATAGCTGTTACCTTGGTCTTTTTGCAGACTTAGCCAGAGCAAGGGTCACTGCCTATACATGATTTACATGTCAAAGGTTATTTTCAAAACTTTTGAAGTCAGTTCTCTATGGTGTGCTCTTTCAGTTAGTTATAAAGACTGAATTCACCATAGGCAACTTGCCCTTACAAAAGGAACTTGCATGGAATACTGAGTTCTTCAAAGATGGAGTAGTGGTTGCATTATGCCAGAAGTTAGGCTGGGGCAAAATAAAATGCCTCATGCAGAAACATTGTGCAGGGCTTATGCAGGAGCTACTTCATGGCCTTGGTTGGGCTATATAACAAGAAGGAAAATCAAGAAAGGCAGAATAAGAAGGTAGGAGTCCTAATTCTTACAGGAACAGTAATTGTTGTCTATTTGTTCTGTAGGGGTCCATTTATGTTGTTGACAGTATCTGACAGAGAAGTTGGAGTGGCAGCTTGTTTGTCTTGTACCAGCAGGTGGAACAGTGCCCACAGAGCAGTCTGATCTGTGGTACACTTCTGCATCCCAGGTGATCAACGCCAATTAAGCTATTTTTGTGGCCTTTTAATCTCAGTTCCTGTTGAGATGCTGTGTAATTAAAATACCAGGAGGAGAAATTAGAAATTCATACATTGAAAATCATTCCATGTTCTCTATTATTCAATGCAAATTGCAATTCCAATTAACAGCAGGATCCTGAGTTTGCCATTGGTAATTAAGTTTTCTCCTGAAGTCTACAGCTGAAAACTGACTGTGAATATCTAAATATGCAATGATGTTGATATTTGAGAGGTATATTTAGATTCCTGTGATTTGGCATCCACCATATTGACTGGGGAAATGGCAGCAAAATAAAGTAAGTTTAAGACAGAGTAGTTGCAGCAGTGAATTCTGTAAACACTTAGCAAGAGAGAGCTGTGGATGTTACCATGTCCATGGCATTGCATTGGCCTGGACAAGAAGATTGGTGGTGTTGGTTTTGCAGTGGAGGGCCCTGTCAGATCTGTGTTTATTACTTGTAGATGTCCAGAGCATAGCTGAGAGCATGCAGTTATAAGTCATTAAAAAACCTAAATGTCTCTTGGAACATAAGATAGACTTTTCCATTTATTGAGGGGTGAGAAACAATAAATGTCTTTTCTAAATTGCCTTTCCAAAGGAGTGCCTAGAATGATAAAATTGTATGCTTTCTTTGCAGTCATAGTCCGGAAACAGTTTTGTATTATTACATTTTTTCTTGGGTTGAGACCTTTAAGGTAATAACACTCAGATGATGATGAGTACGTCTCCTTGCCTTTTCCCAGCTGCAGTGTCTTTTTATGCTCAAGAGCAGTTTGAGTTTCCTTGGAAGCGTGTATGCTGAAGTTCTGTGCCGGGGAGTGCTGGTGCGTTGTTCTCTCTGTTCTGCTTGCTCCGTCTCTCCTGAGCACTAGATGGTGCTGCTTCTTTCCAGCTTCTGCTGGGGCTGGCTGTCTGTGGTGGCAATGCCTTGAATCCCTGGAGCGCGAGTTCATCCTCTCGGAGCAAACTAACCACTCTGTTTTGCTCATTCGCGTCTCCTCAAAGCAAATCAGCAGCCAGGAGTTCCCTAACGACGTCTTTGCCCAGCCTGTGAAGCCAATGCTGTGCTCTGTAGGCAGAACTCAGTACTGAATACATTCCTGCACGTTTGCTCAGTTGGTTAGAGCGTGGTGCTAATGATGCCAAGGTTGTGGGCTTGATGCCCCTATGGGTCAATCACTAAAAAGCTGGGTTTGATGATCCTTGTGGGTCCCTTCCAACCCAGAATATTCTGTGATTCTGTAATATTCTATACTGAACACACTCCATGAATTCACAATGTACAGCTGCTGTCTCAGATGCCAAAATCAAGAGTCTTTGAAAACATTCAAGTTCATATTGTTTGCCTATTTCAATCTTTTTTTGGTCTTAAAACTGTAATATAAGAGAGAATATGCTCTGTATAGACACACACAGTAATGACTGTGTAGGGCAGCCACTTGGATGTAGGTCTCCACTGTTTCAGGTTAACATACTGACCCAGTGCTTATGGGCTATTTAGTGGCATCTGTCTGACTATTTTCCTCTTTCCCCATTCTGAGTCTGCTAAACTTATTTTTAAAAATATGTATCTTCAAAATTTTGCAATTTTAATGCATTGGCATTTTCCAAAAGGAAAAATAGCTTCCTTGGGATTACTCCTTTCTTAATTC